GGACTAATTTTGGACAGGAAGCTTTCTTGGAAACAAAACCTGGAAGCGAGGGTAAAGAAAGCTGCTACAGCGCTTTACACATGTAAAAGAATGGTGGGGCCCAGGTGGGGACTGACACCTCGGGTGGCTCACTGGCTGTACACAGCAATTGTAAGGCCGATCATGACCTACGGGATAGTAGTATGGTGGCCAATTACAGAAAAGAAATATGCGATTAGAAGCATGGAAAGTATACAAAGAGCAGCTAGTATTTGCATCAGTGGAGCTCTCAGAACTACGCCAAGCCAGGCACTCAACATAATTTTACACTTGCTGCCAACAGACTTATATTGCAAGCAAATGGCAGCGAAGTCAGCTCTAAGACTGCGGGAAGCCTCCCTATTAGTCGCCTGTAACAAGGGACATTCTAGGATACTTAGGAAGTTCCCGGTTCTTCCCATAACTACGGATTTTCGCAATCCGGTGGAGCTGAACCTAAATCCGGTCCTCAATATTACCTTTCCCTCCAGAGAGGAGTGGGAACGGGATGTAGTGGACAAGGAAGAAGGGATTAGCTTCTATACGGATGGTTCCAAACTGGATAACCGAGTAGGCGGCGGTGTCTTCTCGGCTAAATTAGATACCAAAATCGCCTTCCGGTTACCAGACCACTGTAGTGTCTTCCAAGCAGAGGTCACTGCAATTAAAGAAAGCCTTCTTGTACTAACAAAAAGCGTAATAACAACAAGAAGTTTATTTATATATACAGACAGCCAAGCGGCTTTGAAATCTCTGATGTCTCATAGGATTTCGTCGAAGACAGTGAAGGATTGCCATGATCTTCTGGCGGATCTGTCATCCTATTTCACTATAAATCTGCAATGGGTTCCAGGACACAGTGACATCCCTGGTAACTGCGTAGCAGATGAACTGGCCAGAACAGACCACCCTACAACTAGATCCTGGTAAGGTGGACATAAATATGCCTCTGGCTACGTGTAGATACCTAATCGACAAACATGTCATTAATATAGCCGAGTGTCAGTGGAATCAATCCCTGACCTGCTCAACCAGCAGGCAAACGTGGCAAGAATGGAATATGAGCCGCACATGCCGACTATTAAAATTCAAGAGGAATGATATAAGAACTCTCGTAGGAGTACTAACAGGCCACTGTCTAATAGGCAGACATGCAAGTAGACTTGGCGCGCCATATAACGACTATTGCAGAAGCTGTCAGGAAGTAGAAGAGGAGGAGACCATTAGACATCTTCTATGCGATTGCGCAGCACTATATAGGAAAAGAATCGCAACCATGGGTCGTGGGTTTCTTGACGACGTCTCGGAGGTTGCACAGATAAAACTTGTCACACTGATGAAGTTCATCAGAAGTGCGGGGTGGTTCAGAGAGGAACCAGTAGAGTGAGGGGATCACAGTCCCAGTGGTATCACAATGGGCCTCCTAAAGGCCTAAGTGTGTCGAATGACAGCCACTTTACCTACCTACCTAACATGAACATATGATGTTTTATTTTTATACTTTTGCAACATGTTGCTACAGAGTATAATAGTTTTGTTCACCTAACGGTTGTTTGTATCATCACCTAATCGAGATAGATATGGAGTTATACATTCAAAATTTTTTTTCCGTATTTTTATTACATTTTTTTTAAGGAAAAATGAACATTAGGCTCTTCCGTCACGAGTGTATAAATTTGGGAATAAACCGTTAAAAATTCCGTCTGCAATAAATTTTAATCTGCAGCATCCGCGATTCGAGCGCGCGATTATTCGTACTCTATCGCAAGTTTGATACCGTATTCCGCTACTTCTCGCGCTAAAACTTACGATATAGATGAATTCATTGCTACAATAAATAAAACAATGTAAACAAGAATTTCAATACAGTGTAAAAAAAAAGATTAATACACTTTAATATAGCTTAAATAAATTAATACAATGTATATGTAATTTGAGGCCATTTCCTGCCACTTGAAATTATTATAAATAAATTGAACAAAACCATATTAAACTCTGCACCAATTCCAAACCAAATCACTTAATAAGCATTCTTTATAAATATATTTAAAGTGTAGTAAACTATGAACTTTCGCTGTAAGAAATATTGTTCAATAAAATCAGTGTGATTTCCACTATCTCCAGCGATAGTTCGCTGTTAATCAAATAATTAGTCTTTCATTTAAAAAACCCTTTCTCGCGACGCAAAACTTAATTCGCGTGGAAAAAAGCTCACATGGTTTCAAAATTTTGTCAAAATTAAAATTTTGTACTGTCCAACCCGAAATTTATAAATTAGTAAGTAAAGCTGAATGTAATTTTTCATTATTAAAAAACCCGAATAAAAATAGTTCTAAATCGAAAAAAAATTATTCAAAGTTGAAAAAATTCGAAGTGAAAATTGAGATATCTTGATGAAACTTGGTACACGTGTTCCTTGACAAAAAAGTGAGGTCGGGTTCGTAGATGGGCGACGAAAACTTATAAAGTGCTATAACTTAGCGTTAAATTAAGATAAAAAAACTATAATTTGGCACATCGCAGTAGCAACGAGCAACCGTGGGTTAAAATTTTTTAAAAAAGCGTGCGTAACCCCGCTCTTTAAGGGGTTTATTGAATATATAATATTTATAAAATTGCTTGGAAATATTATATGTTCTTAAATATATCTCAGCAATGTTCATTTCCCTTGTCTAAAGATATATAATACATTGATTTCCGATCTTTCCTTTTCAACTGACTTTAAACCGTATAGGTTGTTCAAAATAATCAAAATAATGAATGTTGAATTGTTTTGCAACATATTTATACTCTCGCAACATATGGCTACAGAGTGTAATAGTTTTGTTCACCTAATGGTAAACCTAAAACTAATCGAGTTAGATATAGGGTTATGTATATATTAATGATCAGGATGAAGAGACGAGTTGAAATCCGGGTTACTGTCTGTTTGTGAGACAGTTGGTATTGCAGATGGGCGTAATCGGACCACTGTCACACCTACAAAATGTCATTTATCAAAAACAAATAAATTGCCATAACTAAGTTCCACAATATGATACAATAATGTTTTTTGGTATTCACATTAGTAAGGGGTATCTGCAGATAAAATTTTTTTGAAAAAGTTGACGTGGTCCTGCCCCATAATAGGTTTAATGTGTATATCTCTTAAGCCGCTAAAGCTATAATAACAAAATTCACTAAGAACAACTGTTTTTAGCACCCATATCGACGGTGTTAAAATGTGTGAAATCGGGTGACAACCCCGCACACTCCCCATGTAACGGTTCTGTTAAAAACTACTAAAAGCGCGATAAACCAAGCACTAAACAAGCCAGAGACATTAAATTTTATCTCTGGGATGGCATGAGATGACTTTATAGGAACCGCGTTCAAAATTAGACAGTGATCGTGGCACCGCCCACTTTTAGGTGAAAACCCATATTTTGGGATCTGCTTGACCTATTTCAACTAAATTCGGTGCATAACGGCTATTTCCCATATAACGGCTATTTCCCAATTCCATCTGATTCTTTTACTGTCCACTATGCAAATCAAGCAAAAATGATTTTGACGGGGTAAAAGTATGCAATCTTGTGACCAAAAATTCTCTAAATCGAACCAAAACTGTTGAAGTCCCTGGATATTGAATATGTGAACCCCAGTGTCTACTTGTATAATAACAAGTAAGAAAAAGCCGTTGTTACCGAACATTTTATACTCTTGGAACTTGCAAGGATCAAAGCCAGAGATATACTCATAGGCGTTGGCAATACTTTATATTAAGCAAGTAAGAAAGTTCCAAGTTTGGGTGTAGCCGAACAATTTATACTCTGGCAACTTGCAAGGATCAAAGCACCGGAAATTACTTGTTGGCGAAATTTCATACCAAAGGAAGTATAGGTCCGATTCAACCCATTTTTGACACAAAAACTTACCTTTTCGAGATTTTAATTTATTTATTTTATTATATGAATTTCAGTTATATATCTTACACATTGACCGATATTTTATCGTAAAAAGTCAACATACAAGGTGCGTTCCAAAGTAAACATGACTTTAAAAAAAAAGACAGAACAAATGTTTTTATTGGCAAAATAAATTAAATAATTTCATTCAAAATAGTCTCCTTCTGCTTTAATACAGCTTTTTGCACGGTCCAAAAGCATGTCGAACGAGTGTTTTAGCTCGTTGCCCGGTATGACCGCCAATATGCCGGTGCAAGCCTTTTGAATGGCCTCCACGTCTGCATAATGCTTTCCTTTCATTTTTCCGAAAAGGTAGAAGTCGCACGGTGCCATTTCAGGTGAATACGGGGAGTGGTTGATTGTTAAAATGTGATTTTTGGTCAAATAATCGGCCACAAGCGTCGATCAATGAGACAGCGCATTATCGTGCAACAAACGCCAACTTCCATCTTCGCGATATTCGGGCCGAACACGGCGCACCAAACGCTTAAAAACTCCAAGGTAGAATACCGCATTAACGTTTTGGCCAGGTGGAACAAATTCTTTGTGGACAATACCCTTGGAATCATAAAAACAAATCAGCATTGTCTTCACTTTTAATCCTCCAGGCGCGATTTTTTGGGTTTCGGCTAATTCTCACTGTTTACCTTGGAACGCACCTTTTATATTGCATGTTAAAGTTGGAAAATTGCCAAAATCTAATACTTTATATTTATTTTATAATGAAACGCACTAAAAGCAGTTTTAGCCAATAAACAAAATGATACAGCTTTTGTATGGAAGATAGATACATGTATTGTCGAGCGACATAAAGATGTATGCCGGCCGTCCTTCAGCACGCAATGAAAAATTCAAAATGTAATTCCTTAGGACTACAAACTCAGATTTTGATACAGGTCATTTATAAAGCAGTTTTTTATGTAAAAATTTAAAGAAGTTGATACAGATTTTATGTTTAGTGATATGTTTGCATATTTGTTTAAGTAATAATTATATAAAATCGACAATAATTATATATATATTAAATTTTTATAGCGACTTCGCCGACGCAATGTATACAATTTATACTTGGAGAGAATGATTGCAATGGGGTTTATGAAGTGCACCCGGTATTTTCCGAAATGATGGTGAACGATGAGTTTGAATGGAAAGAAATTGCAAGGTGGATAAAATTTGAAGAAGATGTGGAAGAAGGCGGTAACAGATGGTCGAAACCACATGTCGCTACTTTATTTTTGCATTCATTGTTCGAACTACGTACTTTATTACGAAAAGGGTCCGTTTTGTTGGATGTGGGAGCCAACTCCTTTGAACTAATAATGGACTTGTTATGCGACAACATGGTTAATAATGGTACCTTGCCACCAATTTTACGTGCTAAGGTAATAGACGTGTTGTTGAGACGACATCGCCATCAGCATGAGTACAGTGACAAAAGTAAAGGATTACCAAGTATGCGTTCATTTGCTGATATCAGTTATAATCAAACTGAATCTAAAAGTAAGTATTAAATATATCAAAACTTTTTCAAGACTATAATATTATTAGCCCACACTTGTTGAACTGATACTTGTCGGAGTATATTTAATTTTAATCATATTTTCACTTCAATAAGACTAACACTCTCTAATATTATATATAACTAGGGGACCTCGAAATGGATCACCCTATACTTACCTTCTTTATAAACGCCGTTTGATGCTATAAAACATAATAATATAATATTATATACATACGTATTTAAGATGCAAATCACAAAAGCTCCTACCTCAAATTTTTTTTTTTCAAATAATGCCGGCCATTCTAGGAGAAAAATTATATAGCTTTATAGTGCGTCTCTTTCTAAAAATATGTGTGATAAATGTTGCTACTCCTACAACAGAGTTTTGAATTAAAAAACAGAAAGTTAGCTATGAAAATGTAGTGGTGTAAGAGGTGAAACCTTACAAGTGAATTGCTTACCTCCGTCTTGTAGGGTGTTTAGCAAGCATATCAGAAACAGGGCTTGCTTATGAATTTACAAAAATGTGTTTTCTTCTAAAACCGACCATTGCTGTTAGTTAGCAAAATTAGCTTTGGATATATAAAAGTATAATACCATGTTCCGACCGACACTTAATCATGAAATTTATAATAATTCTCACAAATAAAAAATAAGTAAAAAATTAAAGCATTATCAAGTAAGTACGGGAAAATGACAGTAATTAGTATCAAAAAGGGTTAGTAATATGGAGTGAGGCTGCCGAAGCCGATCTAATAAAGTTATGGCGAAAAAAAATGCCACAGCTTCGAACAGATAGTCAATAACAACTGATTTAGAAATACCTAACTACAGTGAGAACAGTCTACATTACTGAAAAGATTAAATGTAATCGAATCAGTTAATTTCGGGTGGAACATGATATTATTCAATATCATTATAGAATAAATTAGTTTCACGTTTAAAAATCGTAAATGTCAGTTATATGGGGCTAAGGCAAGTTTCCGTCCGATTTTATCCATTTTAGGCACAAAAATACAGTGTTATTAGAAAACACACACTTTCTTAATTTCATTAAAATAACTCCCACATTGGCCGATACATGTGGTATAAAATCAACTGGATGTTCGAAAATTTTTATGTAAGGTATATGGGGGCTAAGGAAAGCATTGACCCAATTCAACCCATTTTTAACACAAGGATATAAATATTATCCCCGAATGTCAATAATACATCTCACAGATTGACCAATATTTTCGGCAAAAAGTCAGCCATAGGCTCTGAAGTCAACACTTCCGGTATCTGGGTTCTCCAAAAGTTAGTGTCCGATTTTGATAATTTTTGGGCATAAGATTAATTACTTTAAGGGTACTATTTGTGCAAAGTTTTACCCGTATATATTGATTAGTTCTTGATTTGTAGAATGGAAAATGAAAGAATAAGATGGAATTTACATTGTGTTGTATGGGAAGTAGGCGTGGTTTTTTCTGAGTTCGCCTATTTTTATTCCTCGCTCTCTCGTACCATCTCGGGTGTAAAATTGTATGTCTCTGCAATATTGAGTTTTTGTTTTATCACGCTGTTAGTTGTTTTTAACAATACCGTTATATGTGGAAAGGGGGGGGGGGGGGGGTTATAATTCGATTTCATTCCTTTTCACACTATCGGGAGGGATGCCAAAAAGATTTGTCTTAAGTGAATTTGGGTATTATAGCTTTAGTTGTTTAGGATATAGTATGCACATTAAACCTATTGGAGAGCAGGGCTACGCCCACTTTTCAAATATTTTTTGCCCACAGGTGACCTTTGCTACTGCAACCCTCTGTACCAAATTAAAATTCTATATCTTAATTTAGTGCTTACCTATGACATTTTATATGTTTTCGATTCATGACGTTTTGTGGGCGTAGCGGTGGTCCGACTATGCCCATCCACGAACTCGTCCTTACTTTTTTGCCAAGGTACACGTGTAAAAAGTTTGATTACGATATCAAAATTTTTACTCAAGTTACAGCTTACACGGACAGACTTTCACCCGGATTTTAGCTCGTCTCGTCATCTTGATCTTTTATATATATGAATATGACCCTATATCTAACTCGATTATTTTTAGGTGATACAAACAACCGTTTGGTGAACAATACTACAATATTATACTCTGTAGCAAAAGGTTGCAAAAGCATATAAGTATAAAATTGAATTGAATCTGCAATCGACTTCCCAAATCAAAAAATGCGTCCATTATTTTAATTAAATGGGAAATATTTATTTAGCTATTGGTTTGCGTGTTGTGTGTTTTGAAAGGGTTTTCGCATTTTTGTGAACAAGTTTTTAGCGTGAGGGTTGTTTCGCAACTACACATCTTCTGTAGTTTGCTGGATGAGCCTCACCAGCCTTGTAAGATTTTCGTTGATGTTGATCAGAATTTTGGTCGATGGTCTTATGCTTTACTACACATTTAACACATTCTGTTTGGTTATCACAGTAGTTGTAAGTATGGCCATTTGCATTGTGGTATGAGCATTGCCTGCTTTATATCTGTGACAGTAGTAAAGAATTGTAGTAAACCCAAATAGTATGATATGTTTCATAGGCAATAGATATTTCAAAAATTGTCGACAATAAATATGGAAATGTGTGTAATGGAGAAAGTAAATAATATTATTTCATATAATGCAAAAGTGATCCATTTTTTGGAGTTTACTCCTTAAGAATCGTTTTTCATATAAGGCGCCCGGTATGAAAAAATATGAGGAGTGAAATCTATTGATGAATGACCTCAGATGAACTCGGTAACGTTTTCCCGCGCATCATTTCTCCCCACTTTTCAGTTGTGTATACTTTTATGTATACTTTGTGTAGAGTTATTGTTGTTATGACTACAGCGCCATCTATACTACTATCATAGGCTATACACTACACGGTCAGCTGATTGGTACGAGCGCTGCCATATTAGATTGGCTGCAGTTATACGGATAGCCAGCATTAATTTTGTTGTTCTTCTATTTTAAAGTGTTGTTACTTTATTGATATTATATTAGTTTATGATTTTGTTTTTTTTTTCTTTCAGCAACTGCAGCCAACCCACGAACTTGATTTCTGCCACAATTTTAATTCCGATTTTATTTAATTTTTACATTTTTTATTTTTGAGTATTACACATGTGGTCGCGGAAGGTGTGCAACAAAGTACTTAAACTTCCAAATAAGCATGAAAAAGTGAATACAGTTATAAAATATATTTCTGTGCTGAGTAATTAAACAAAAACGAGTAATATGGCATCATTGAAATCAAGTTTGCATGGTGCCGCAAAACAGAACAATATTTCAATATTCATAACACATTTGTACGAAACAGTTAAATGCCAATATATAAGTAAATATATATAATATATGCATCTAATTTTTAACATATTTCTTCAATTTGCTTGAAGCTTTTTCCAGTTCTTTTTATACTCTCGCAACCTGTTGCTACAGAGTATAATAGTTTAGTTCACCTAACGGTTGTTTGTATCACCTAATCGAGTTAGATATAGGGTTATGTATATATAAATGATCAGGATGAAGAGACGAGTTGAAATCCGGGTGACTGTCTGTCCGTCCGTCCGTCTGTCCGTCCGTGCAAGCTGTAACTTGAGTAAAAATTGAGATATCTTTATGAAACTTGGTGGACATGTTTCTTAGTACCGTGAGACGGTTGGTATTGGAGATGGGCGTAATCGGACCACTGCCACGCGCACAAAACGCCATTAATCAAAAACAAATAAATTGCTATATCTAATCTCTGCAATAAGATACAAGACTGGTACTCAGGATCACATTAGGGAGGGGCATCTGCATTTAAAATCTTTTTTTTTAAGTGGGCGTGGTCCCGCCTCTAATAGGTTTAATGTGCATATCTCCTAAACCGCTAATGCTATAATAACAAAATTCACTGGAAGCAAATGTTTTTAGAACCTCTACCTACAGTGTGAAAATAGTTGAAATCGAGTGGCAACTCCGCCCACTCCCCATATAACGGTACTGTTAAAAAATTCTAAAAGCGCGATAAATCAAGCACTAAACACGCCAGAGACATTAAATTTTACCCCTGAGATGGTATGAGATGACTTTATAGGAAACGCGTTCAGAATTAGACAGTGGGTGTGGCACAACCTACTTTTAGATGAAAACCCATATCTTGGTATCTGCTTAACCGATTTCAAATAAATTCGGTGCATAACGTTATTTTGATATATCTCTGTTATATTGCGAAAATGGGCTAAATCGGACTACAACCACGCCTATTTCCCATATAACACCATTTTCAATTCCATTTGATTCTTTCACTTTCCACTATGCATATCAAGCAACAATGATTATATCGGGGTAAAACTTTGCGTGAATAATACGTTTCAAGTATGCCACCTTGTGACCAAAAATTGTCTAAATCGAACCAAAACTGTTCAAGCCCCTAAGTACTAAATATGTGGACCCCAATGCCTATAGTTGACCTTCTACCGAAAGTATCAGCCAATCCACAAAGAAATCTCAAACGAGTATACCATTTGACTTTGCGAGAGCATAAAATGTTCGGTTACATCCGAACTTAGCCCTTCCTTACTTGTTTCAAGTAAACTTCTAAATAGTGAAGGCGTTGAGTAATGATCGCTAAAGACCGCTCGTTGACTGGAACAATGCAGTGATGACAAATGCTTGAACGAAATTTCATTGAATATTATACGCTGATTAAAAAACCGTGCTATATAAGCAGCCTTGCGCAGGCTCAGTTCAAACCCACGATCGAGAGCTGGAAGCAGAAGCTATGTTAATTTTGTAAACAAATTAATTATTTTATGCAGCTAAGCGCCAGTACTCACCTCTTCCACCACACTTTTGCAGTCACACTTTCAAACATTTGCTTATATCCAACTCCATTCTGATGAACCGCGCGTTAATAAAATAAATATTTTTAACAACTAATTAAGCTAATGCAAAGGAAATAGCCGAAAGAAATTGCAGTCAAATGAATTCAGTGGCCA